TTTGACGGCAGTGTTTTGCCATTGAATAAAGACGTGCTCCTGAAGGTGGCAGAACTAGCCAAGGGGCAGTATCAAGCGCATGCGGAACTGCCATCTGGTTTGAGTCAGTGTGCGCAGCTTGGAGAACTATCCGCTTCTGCCCTCGCTGGAAATAACACGTACGTCACGGCGGAATGCAAGCTGTTTTACGATGTTTGTTCATCATGTTGCAGCAAAATGCCAGCCGATCGGTGTTACACATTTTCGAGCGATGGCAAAGGAGAGCTTTACTTGAATCCAACTTTCACGTCCGACACGGGAGAAACCGTCCTTTCAGTCGACAAGTTCTTATCTGTCAATACATCGGATGCCGACCCGTGAGTTTGTCATATTGATATTCTCAACTTTTCTGTTCTCCAACTAACCGCGGCCCTTAGGATCTTTCGTCTTTCGTCTTGGTCCGGCGCCATCGACATCGGCGTTGATTATAACACTAATATTGTGAAAGCAGAGGACATGATGAATTACTTGAATCAATGGAAGAGGTTTATGCTTCTCGTCTTTGATTAACGCTCGCGCTTCGATTTGCAAAATAGCTACCTCCTGCCGTCCGCACGCGCTATGTAGTTCGATTGTCTGACCATACTGCATATAATTGTAATAACTGTCGATATCCTGAGGTCCTCATTCTATCGCACGCTTGTGAGGAAGGTGCCTGCCTGCAGCAAGCATGGTGATATGATTCTCACATCAGCTATCCGTCGTCCTCAATGAGATTCCTCGTGAGACATCAAACTTCAGCGTTTTGATCATGGCGTGATGACTTTGCAGCCAGTGTGCTCCCAAGGTTCCTGGCGACGAATCAACGAGCGCTCGAGTATTACTAACATGAAACACGACGACCGCCTACCGCCAACCAGACAGCTACCCACAGTTTTGTTAAGGACGCAAGTTAGGAGTTCTTTGCCATACTCCCGGCGCCGGCCCGGGGCTAGTAGGACCCATACTATGACGTACTAGCGTCAACTCTCCGTTCCTCTATCATTGTACTTGTAGTCTAATCCACGTTACAACCACTGCAGCTTCGTAACCAGCGCACCTGCCTCGCGCATACCATAAAGACGTTGCATGAGCTAGTATAGAGATGTATATCCCTTCCTTCTCCTCAGCAATCGCAGATTCAGTATTTCCATTCAACTGGCTTCAAGACGCCATGCATGCATTCATCATATATCTAGCTGCGTTCTTTGCCACTACTCCATCGTCAGAAGTCGGTAGTCCTAGTAGTGGTAGTGAGAAATATCTCATCGGACTTGGTGAGCTCCTGATTGCCGTTGGGTAAATGTGATATTGACAGTGCGCGCTGTAGGCATTGGAGATGTTACTGGGTACGTTTTCCACTTTAATTTCCTTTCATAGCACCTCACATGATACTTGTATTAGTCCAGTGGTAGAGACAAACATGATGGTGCGTCTCGCTTCATCCCTAATCCACCATCTGCCAATGAAGTCCCGAATTAGGGCTATGCATCCCTCGCACAAACAGATACAGGTCTCCACATGCGCCAGCGCAGCCGTGCATTCATCGTCGCCGATACTTCAAACCCCTCCGAACGTATTCTCTTCATTAACTCGGGTGTGTCATTCGTACTCATCCCTAACCCTTCAACTCAACACCACGGCAAAAGACATCTGCATGAGTGATACAGGTATCCGACGTACCATTCTTTCCTCACTTGCATCGCGCTACGGAGACATCTACACTCCTGCCAACACCGCCCTCGTCGGAACTCACGCTCACAGCGGCGTCGGAGGTTATCTCGAGAACCTCCTCCCACAAGTCACTTCTCGCGGGTATGTAAACGATACCGCAGCCGCCATAGTCTCTGGCACTCTGAAAGCGATCGCGGATGCACATAACTCACTCGCGCCGGGCAATCTGAAGTTGGGGAACACGACGCTGCAGAATGCGAACCGAAATCGGAGCCCGAGTGCATATTTGGCGAATCCGGAGTGGGAGAGGGCAATGTATGAGGGTGATCAGGACTGGACTGTGTCGGTCTTGGGCTTTGAGGATACGAACGGAAGAGCGAGGGGATTGATGAGCTTTTTTCCGGTGCATGGGACGAGCTTGTATGAGGTGCGCGAGTGTTTTCATGGGCTTGATTATAAGTCTTAGGGGGTCTAGAACAACACCCTGGTGAGCGGTGATAACAAGGGCATGGCAGCGTGGATGTATGAATGTGAGTTTCCCTCCATACTTATTATGTCAAGCTGACACTTCAGTAGCATACATCGAGCCGTCCTCAATGCCTGGCAACAATTCCTTTGTTGCAGGATTCGTCCAGTGTAAGTTACCATTCCCTCTTCCTTCCCTCAAGCTGAAATGAGGCACTTGAAGCCAACATGGGTGACACAAGCCCGAATACGTGAGTTCCATGTTACAGGTAATGATTTTGAAGCACTGACTGCATCTCAATCATACCTTTTACTTCAACCGCATAATATACACTTTTCTCCTGTGTGCCTCTGACTTACATACTGTTATTGTATAACTCTAACTCTAATAGCCTTGGCGCTTTCTGCGAATCACCTGGAAAACCATGGGATGGCCAACCCTGCGAGGTTGAGCACTCGACATGCGGTAATTTGACCGAGGACTGTCACGGACGGTGAGCCCTTCTTTTAATTCTTTCCCGTGATTACTTGTTTGTGATAAATTTGAGTGCGCTCTGGTCAAGCCATCTCGTATTTTGTGTCTTGTGTGCGACCCTGACGTTCTCCCGGTTGCAATAGGGGACAGCGTGCTCATTACTACTATCCCGCCCGTCGTTGCATTTGATCTACCACATTAATGCCACACGGCTACGGCAGCATCTCATTCTCTTCCTCTCAACGAAACACATCTGATCCTGATACCAAGGGGCCCTGGCTTTCGTATCTCGGATTTCGAGTCTAATAGGATGATTGGGCAGGCGCAATTTGAAGCAACACGGACCGTGATGGAGGGGAATAATATGACCAGAGTGAGTGGGAGTGTGAAAAGCGTTCACGTATATCTCGATATGTAAGCCATCCTCCATGCATCTCCTGTTTCAAATGTAGTGAGACTAACACGGCGGGAAGGACGAACTATTCGTTTACGTTGCCGAATGGGACGCTTGCGAGGACATGTCCTGCTGCTCTTGGTGAGTGTTTTTTTCTCTTTCCACCATCACCTCCTCCTGAGACTGCTTCTCATCTTAGGTTACTCGTTCGCTGGTGGAACATCGTAAGCTTTCATCCACTGTTCCTAGTTCGTTCGTCATATAACATGGTCGACAGTGATGGGCCGGGCGCCTTCGACTTCACACAAGGACACAACTCCTCGCAGCCTTCCAACCCCTTCTGGGAGATCGTGAAAATTTTCATCACCCCACCCCCGTCGGAAGAGCAGATTGCGTGCCAGTACCCCAAGCCTATATTACTGAACAGTGGATATGCGCACGAGCCGTATGACTGGGCACCCGGGACAGTGGATGTGCAGATGCTGAGGGTGGGGCAATTCGTGATACTTGTGATGCCCGGGGAGCTGACGACTATGGCGGGGAGGAGGATGAGGTGAATTATCTCTTGTCTTGGCGGATTCATGTTGATCCGTTTTCGTTTTTTGATAGGGAGGCATTGAGGGTGAAGCTAATTGCGGACGGTATCCTGGACAATAGGGCGTATGTGGTGATTGCGGGTCCTGGGAATACGTACGGACACTACGTTGCGACGCGCGAGGAGTACGGTGTGCAGCGGTACGAAGGGGCTAGTACGATATTTGGACCTGGTAAGTTTGCTCCTCCAGCATAGTTGCAGGAATCGGGTTTTCTGAGGAATTGCTACTAGCCACGCTCGAGGCATATATAAACAGGTATAGCGAGCTTGTTCTACACCTCGCGGATAACGATACGGGATCGCCGTTGTCGAATGCAGCTCCTCTTGAACAGACGAGCAAGTCGATCTCAATGCAGGTGGGTTTCCAATCACCTTCCGCATGCATGTCGCTCACTGACATTGATTTGTTGCTTACAGAATCCGGTGATTGTTGACCATCCTTCCATTTTCAAAGACTTTGGAGATGTCCTCATTGATGTGGAGAGTAGCACATACTACGCTGGTGATACCGTAGCTGTCAGATTCGTTGGTGCTAACCCACGTGCAAGTCTTTCATCTTTCACCGATTCTTTCCTTGTTCTAACCCGACGACAAATACGACGACAGAATAACTTGAGGCTAGAAGGGACCTTCTTCACTGTAGATCAACAAGTGAACGGAGAATGGGTGGTCATAAGGACAGATTCACATCCCTCTACGACCTACAAGTGGAATCGGACGAGCACGGTATGTCTCCTCCGAATGCATGATTCTCATGTCCATTTCCTGACGTCATTCCAGGTACTCGGCACGAGCACGGTTGATGCTCGGTGGTGCGTTTTCTCGATTCTTTTAGATAATCCATTCGTTGCTGACCGCGTCCACAGGACCATTGAGGACGGAACGCCAGCAGGAACGTACAGGATAACGTACTATGGTGATGCAAAGTCGTTCCTGGGCGATATATCGGCGTTCACTGGTGTTTCTTCAACCTTTACTGTAAATTGAATGTGCAGATCAGATCTGCCGACGGACGTAATTCACGGGATATTTGTTGCTTTGCTATGATATTAGCAGCATTGTGTATATATACTATCAGCCAACTGTGTAGAAACACGCGTCATTTACTCAGGCTTCAAATCTGGACTGTAAAATATTTACATATTTCTCTACATGGATTCCAGAATGTGCGACATCCGGTATGTTCTTGGTTACACCGTGGGCGTGTTCATGAAGCTCAGGTTGAGTATAGTTATCCATTTTTTTCACGGCGCTCTATGATGTATAGACTGTAGAAATCTTGCCATCTTAGTGGCAGTTAGCTATCATATGTAGCCCTTCGATATTCAAGCAAAAGCTCTTCTGAGGGTGGTAACTTAATTGCACCAACCAGAAAAATATGCCCACTGGCTGGATTGAACAACCGACCTCACCATTACGAGTGGCGCGCTCTACCACTGAGCTAAACGGGCTTATACTTCGTCACTAGTATCTTATGTAATTACTGTAGTTCAAACGATGCAACCTTGTACTACCCTATGATCACCGTGACGATGCCCTGGGTCTGCCATGCCCGTGTGCTTTCCAGTTACCACCTCGGTAAGCGTCACAGTTGAACCTCGGAACTCCACTACTCGCTTCTTGAGCAGTTCAAATCCGTCAGGTGAACATATCATTTTGCCGGATGGAATTTCAAATGCCCGTGACCGGTGCGCAGATCCTGGAGCATTCCGAGATATCTCTGGTCCTAGAAAGATTACCCTGCTTCTATTAGGCCTGCCTACAGCACAGTACTAGTCTGGCCCAGGGCGTAACCAGCAGAAAAGTCACCCGCTATTGTTGCCAAGACATCGAGTTCGTAGGGCACGTTTCGGATCCTCCTCCACCTTCTATGGAAGAAAAGTATGTATGTGACCCCGTCAGTACAAGGACGTCGGCGTGTGGTCGGATTTCGATGGGACTTTTTCTTCTACTACTCCAACAAGCTTTGGATATTCTTTCATCCTTTGCACATCGGATAATGCCTCATACATCCCACTTTCTTCACTTGTTTGATGATGTGCTTGCATATATTCTCGACTTGACACCTATGAGTGACTTGGAGAATGTTTCGAAGGTAACTGCCCTCACGCACATCTCTCCATATGCGCGCCTGACCCCTCTCGCAGACGTGTAAGCAGCTCGAAAATATATGTGCCCTTGTTCGCGCCCCATATCTCCATGAACTCCATCAAGAGGGTCTGGAATATAATACTGTGTCTGCATCACCATCTATGTCATTTCCACAGGCACTGGCTTCCCTCAGGTGTAGAGAAAACAGGTGGAGGACGATGCGCCCGATTACTTCATCCTACCGTGCAACCTTGAATGAAAGCCACTTCACTAGCTACTTTCACAACATAATTTTGTATGTGTCCACTAGGCAGGTTGCCTCGAGTGTTGTCCATGGGGACAAGGTAGAATATGTGACCTACGGTGGCCGAGCTGATGAGATTACTCGCTTACATGCTAGTGATGTACTGCAGGACCTTCTTGTCCTGCTGCGGATGCACCTTCCGTGAGCAATTTGTTTTCATCATATCTACAATTAAATCGCCTTGACGGAACCTTTCAGGACAGGCTTAAGCTACCTCTGCTTTCTTTCTTTGAGAGGGATGTCTCCACACTCAGCAGCTGCTAGTCCAACTCGCATTCTCTTAACTGGCATCAGTCCCATAGAATATTTCTCTGCTCCGCTTGACGCCCGTGGACTAAGAATACTTGGTCCCTGGTGTGCGGTGCTAACCAGTGATCCGTCTCCCAGCAAGCTGGAAGCGCGAGGCAACGTACTCTTGCTTTGCAATTGGAAAACCGGCACATTATTCAAATTCGTAAGCACTCATATTCTGACCCAATAATTCAATTAACTGGGTGTCACAAGAGGGATTTTCATTCCGATAAGGTCGACGATTTTAACTTTATGAATGATCGTATACTTGCCGTCATTCATAGAGCCTCAGAACCATCTCGTCCGATACTCTGCCTTTACGATATCGCTTTGCCTAGCCAGCTCTCTTCGTCCGGTCGCTTGACACTTGGCTTGTCTTTGCAGCTGCCTCAAATAGAGGCCGGGGTATCCATACTTTCCAGTCGTATACTGCTCCCAAGAGTGCTGCAAGAGCAGGTCCTTCAGTCCAATCAGCGCCCTCGAGAGGTCTTTCTCTCGAACAGTGGAATCATGGCTCTGACGGTATCCCTCACAACGGGGTCCGAGACAGCCAAACTGGTCATCACTATTGATGTCGCAATGTTGCTTTCCATTGCTCACATGGATATCCATGGCCGCACAATGCCTTGGAGCGATTGGGGTGCTAGAATGTCGCGTGTTTTCTTGATCAGCGAAGCCGTCCGTGCAAACAACAATATAGAACCTCTGCAAGATGTGGAAGGTTCTAGGGTAGCTTTCTCTGCCAACGTAGACTCCCATGATACCAGCATTTTCGAGGGAGGTTCCGGTCCTGCCGCATTCATTTTAGACTTCAATCCTGCAACTATCCGATGGGCTCGAGGGGAGGAAAAGGCAGGGCGTGGACTGCGCGGTGATTTGGTGACGGAACCGAGCATTCTACAACCGGGACACCTGCTTGCAGAGGAGGTCATCAGCTCCCTACCCTTTACCCGGACTATGCTCGAGGGCTACTTGCCAAACCACCAAATTCGACTTTCACGCGACGAAGTTGTCTATCCTGTAGGTTCACGCGTGCATGTATCTTTCGGTTCGAGTGTCTTATGCATGCATCTTTATTATAGGCTAATCAGCTGGGAGGACCTCCACTCCTTAATGCCTACAGCTTTGTATAGGGAATTCCTTCAAAGATAGATAGGGGTGCTAAATTTACAACTCTGGTGGCCCCCGCAGGGGTCGTTCGCTACTCTAGTAATTGGTGAGCTTAGACCCCATTCCACGTCGCCCGCGATTCTTGGCCCTACATAGGGAATCGGTTTCTGCTCTTAATGTAAGTTAGATTTCGCAAACGAAGGAGTGGCATCTAGAAAGTGTTCGCAACATGAGTTCATGATTCGAAATTTCATGGTACTGCGGAGTCATCATGAATCTCTGTGAGCGACGTGATGCACAAGGCGCATTTGGTATCATTATTGGAAGAATGGGGGCTACGAGGTCTTATCTTTTCCGCAAACATAGCCGTTCTCAGCCCGAAGCGAAGCGATGGCATAGAACTATGACTTTGGATTAGTGTACTAGGCTAACCACCCTCTGCACCTAGCGCTGCAGACCACCGTCCCCTAAGATAAGGCGCTGGTAGGTAGGGCATTGAGAGGCTGGTAAAACGGTTAGGTAGCGGTTTCGAGCCGACGAAAGCTCTCATCAGGGGGATTCCGCTACCCAGACCGCTTGTACTTCTAGTTCTACGTAGGAAGCTCCCTTTTAAGCCTATCGAGTGGGGGTAAATGGTCCGTGCAAGATATACCGGCCCTAGCGTGATGTAGGGTGAGCAATCTGCTGTCCGGAACCTATGACCCACCCGCGGAAAGGTTCAGCCGACGGGTTATATTCATCGCGAGCACGAGATCTTGTGCCCAGAGCCTATGAGCGATCCAGCAGGCCCGAGCCTAGGGCCTGAGCCCCTGGCTTTCGGCTTTCCTAAAATAGAATGCCCCGGCGGCATTGGTACGACCCGCATCTATGGTAGGGGCTCAAGCGCATTCATCGGACCTCACGTGATGTGACAAGACCGTGACAGACACAAGGATAAGTGGTGCCGGTCAAGCCGAAATACGACATCCGACTAGTTGGTAAGTAAGTAAGGTAGAGTAGGACGAATAGTTACACTATAAAGAAAGAGAGAACTTAAGAAATGTATGCAGCAGAAGTAATGTTGGTTTTATTGTCTTATTTTACGAAGGCCCCGTAAAATCATGCAGCACGTGACTTCTTGCCTCATGCGGTCATGAAAACGCGTTCCTCCGAGTTTCAAACGTTCGAATATTAGACGCGCCTTGTTTATAATAATTAATACCACTCTGTCGTTCGCGTCTCGCTCTCTGTCCACTGCCGTTGCTGCGCACCACGATCTGCTATTCTCTAGCGCACCGGCACACCGACCTTGTTCAACAACGACCAGGGAGCTCGTCGTTTGAGGAGCGGCTTTGCGCGGAGTCACGCGAAGTCACATGCTGTCACATGATGTGGCACATGTTCTAATGCATATATGTCATAATGCATAGCGATTTTGCAGTCCCGACGCTATGCATTATGAGATAGTCTACTGTAGTAGTAAGTTCTTGATGATCTAGTGACAACAGATCTCCACGACCTGAAGCGGCTTGGTCGTTTATATCGTCTCAGGATTCCATGTTCTTCCAGTGGAACCTACGCAAGTCGAAATTCACATCTTGCTATATTGACAGTGTCATTCCCACTCCCGAAGATGGCCATGCAGCCAACAAGACCTATACCTCATCTGGCTCCCTCACCCAGATTCAAATCTGGAATGTCACCACTCCTACGGGAACCATGAGGAGCCTGAGCTGGAACTCACGACCGCAACGAAACGCACCGATGGGCACTGTCGCATTTCTTCCTGAGAAAGATAAGATCGAATAGCCGGAATTAGAACATGGATGACAATCACTGATGCCAACGCGGTTCTCCTGTGGTGACAAAGTGACCGTTGGCATCGAGGTGACCTGCGAAGGTTGTAGACTTGAATTCGAGCAATTGTTCTCAGCTCCTGCGTTGGGTGAGTACAGGCAGTCGCGTTACAGGCTACCACCCAGTCGTAGTCT